AGTGGTAGAGCCCCTGCCTAGAATCCCCCAGTGAGGGGCTGGGGTGTGGCTCAGTGGTAGAACAAGGCCCTGGGTATCATCCCCTACACCAATACATGGAGCAGAGGGGGCTGAAGTCAGCCCCTCGTTTGTTTTTGTGGAGAGAAGGGCTGAGGCTGGGCGAGCTGGGAGGAGTGTCTGGGAGGAGTGTCTGTCTGGGAGGAGTGTCTGGGTGGCAGGCAGATCCTATTTTTGATTTGGTCGTGGTTCTGAGTGGTTCACCTTAAAATAACACAATTCGGGTTTTTGCCGAATTTCAAGAATCCCTATTTTAAGAACTTCCTGGGTTTGCTTTAACAAAGAAAGACTTGGCTTGTTACTTTTATCCTTTTTATAATTTATTCTAAATTTCATTTTATGTGCATGGGTGCTTTTTCTGTATGTGTGTCTGTGTGAGGGTGGTGGATCCCCTGGAACTGGAGTTACAGACAGTTGTGAGCTGCCACATGGGTGCTGGGAATTGAACTCAGGTCCTCTGGAAGATCAGCCAGTGCTCTTAACCACTGAGCCATCTCTTCACCCCCTTAACTTGTTTTTTTAGAGGAAGATTTTTGTTCCTTGAATCAGGATCTCATACACCAGCACAGGCTAATCTTGAACTCACATGTAGTCCAGGCTGGCCTCTAACTTGCAGCAAATCTCCTGCCTCAGCCTGGCAAGTGCTGGGATTACAGGTGTGAGCCCCCATGTCTACCTGGAGGGTTTTACTTTTGAAACCAGTCTCTAATAGAGTAGAAGCAAGGATTTGTTGCTGGGAAGCACTCTTCACCGCCAAGCCATGTCTCCAGCCTGCAGTGTAGGTGTGAATGAAGCCATGTTTACTGTTAGTGAGCTTCTGACATTCCATCTACTTCCCCAGAATGGCATGATTTCTCTTCTTCTTTGCGTCTGAATACATGTGATGATGTGGATGGTGCACATGTTCCTTATCCATCCTCCCCATGACAGGCATGCCAGCTGGCCCCACAATTTGGCTTTCATGAGTAGCGCTGTACATGTGTGCCCTCTCTCAGCCCTGCTATGTGCCTAGGAGTGTAATCGAGTACGCGGTACTTCTAATTCCGGGGGTTTTGTAGGCTCTCCATGTTCTGCATGTCCTAACCAACATCTTCCACCCACAGCATTTGTTGTTTTCTCTCCTTCCTTCCTCCCTTCATGCCATGGCTTCTCTCAACGATGGGCTACAATGTGGAAGTGTAATCCCAATAAACCCTGTCCTCTCCAGTTTCCTTTTGGTCATGGTGTTTCATTGCAACAACAGAAACCTTAACCAAGAGAAAACTTCTTAACTGAAAAACCCTTAACAAATTAGGAACAAAGCAGTGCACTGTTCTCAACGTGTGGGTCATGACCCCTTTGACAAATCTCTATCACCAAAAATATTTACATTACGACTCATAACAGCAGCAAAATTACAATTATGAAGTAGCAACAAAAATAATTTTATGGCTGGGGGTCACCACAACATGCGGAACTGGATTAAAGGGTCACAGCATTAGGGAGGCCGAGAACCACTGCAATAGAGCATAATAAATTAAACAAAGGAAGGCTGGGATAAAGCTTGGTGGTGGAACACATGCCTGTAATCCACTAGTGAGGGACTGGGTGTGGCTCAGTAGTATAGCCCCTGCCTAGAATCCCCCAGTGAGGGGCTGGGGGTGTGGCTCAGTGGT